CGGAGAAGGCAGATAATTTCACAGTCATACACGCTACCTCTACAGCAGGAGCAGTTGCTGCAAAAGTTGGCAATAACTTGGGATTTCAGTGTGCCAGTGGGAAAGGAATTTCTGTGTCGAATATTGCCATGAAACGAGCTCAGAAATTGGCAGATGATATTCTAGTCGAATCAAATCAAACCAAGCCAAACAACCCAGCTGCATCTATCAGTGCATATGCAGGCTTCCAGTGCGCCAGTGGCAAAAGAATTACCATATCGGACGCAGCCATGCAAAAGGCTGAACAGGTGGCCTCAGAGGTAATGGGAGAGAAAGCGAATAATTTCTCCAGCGTACACTCTGCAACCACCAGCATCGCCGCAAAAAGCGTTGTCGCCGAAACGGATGCGAAAACCGACGGCAACGTTGGATTCCTGCGCGCCGGCGGAAGAACTATCGCCGGAAAAATGGATACGAAAGCCAACGATGACATTAGATTCCTGCGCGCCGGCGGGAGAATGATCGCAGAGTTTGAGGATAGCTTTGACGAGTTGTCGGTGACTCAGCTGGAGGTGATCGAGGGAACGAGCGCGTGGCTTGAGGCCGGTCTCACGGGGCTCAGCCAGTGGATCCCCGAAACAGTGGCGGCAGCGGCGGACGTCAAAGACGAGACGTCGCGAGAGATGGGCGTGGCAGGTGGCGCCACGGTGGCGGCGGACGCGCGCGTGTCTCCGGGCCGCGCGCCGGCAGCCGACCCAACGCCGTCTCCCGCGGCAACCAACCGCGCGTCCGAACACCCGCCCCGCGAAGATTCGCCAGCGGCGCTCTCACACGAGGCAACGGCGGACTCACGGCACGGCGGTGGCGCCACTGACGCGACGACGCCCGCCAAACATCGGCACGAAGACGCCGCGTCCGCCACCTTGTCCAACGATCGCGGCGACATCGTCGGGTTTCGGACGGCGAACGGCAGGCCGCTTGTCGCTCGCCAGGAGGCGCTGGCGGCGGCCAGGAAGATGTGGAACGAGGTCACGACCTCAGTGACGATGTCGGCGGGCTGCGGCAAGCTCACAGCGCCCTCTGTTGGCATTTGCGAAGGAGCGCACAACGAAGAAACGACGATGCATCGGTCTGGAACGGCGACTGTGATTGAAGGAGATTGTCATGTGGGAGCACCAGGGACTGCCGATGGAAAGCCGAGCGGTGAGGCGGCGGCTGCAACGTGCACCGCAGCACACGATGCAGGCGGGAGACCCGGAAAGATGCCCCGTGAGCGTGAAGGTGGCGGCGGGCAGTCTACCGATGGTGGTGAGAAGCAGACAGAGAACGGTGTCTGTGTTCTAGGGGAGGTAATGGAGAAGGTGGATCGGCTGAGTGGGTCACAGAAGCAAACAGAGAAGAACGATTGTGTGCGTATTCTAGGGGAGGTAATGGAGAAGGTGGATCGGCTGAGTGGGTCACGGAAGCAAACAGAGAAGAACGATTGTGTGCGTATTCTAGG